GATGACATTACCCATTGCTGCCTGCTGTTGATGGAGTAATTTCCAGAATAATGAGTCATCTTCCTTGCAAGGCTGTTTTGGCTAATTCCTTTAAGGACAAGCATCCATTCTCATCTCTCACTGTTAGCCAAGGATACTGGCACCTTCTTCCTGAATTAAAGCCTATAAGTGCTTTTTCCCAGCTATAAACTTTTTGTCAACATTTAATTTTTTAAAAACATCTGGATGCTAAGGGATATTTTGAAACAGAAATAAAAATGTTGGTTGCATATAAGCTTTTACTATTGCAAACTTTTTTTATGCGATTCTTATAATTTCTGTAAAGTAATTTATCAGCATTTTTGTTATCCAAATTCCTAAATATTTAAAACTTGAATCACAGAGATCTAAATGAAATGTTCTTTTAATTTCTGTTCTCCTATAGGGATATTTATACACAGTAATTTAGATCCTTCATAATTTTATTTCCCATATAGCAATAAAATATTTACAAAAATTTTTTTAAATGCTGCATACTTTAATTGGATTTTTAAGAAACAAATTACAAATTTCTGCTGCTTATTCTTTACTCTTATTCCAGCAATATTAATAATTAATATTTTCTCTAATAGTGGCCAGTGTTTCTATGGCTGATGCAAATATCAATAGCAATGAAGAAGTACCTTCCTTGTACCTCTTGTAACACCAAGGTAATCTTGGGGAAGTAGTATACAGGCTGTCCCCAGCTTATGAACATGTGCCATTCCTGAAAAAGCAAACATTCATCTTTAAGTTGAATTTGTATGTCAGTTGGACTGATAGGTGTGAAAGGATGATTTGAAACAAGGGAGTAGAAAGATTTAAAAGGTAACAAAGAAAATTAGTTAGCCCAAAGGAGGGGAGGGGCCAAAATCAGGTAGCACAAAGTGTGGGGAAACAGGCACATAGGCAGGAGGGCCAAATACTTCCTGATTGTTTATTGACAAGCTGGGCAGAACAAAATGAGCCTATTGTAGCTCACCAGGGGCAGGTCTGAATTGGGAAGAAGGGCTGGTGTTGGAGCAGCGTGGAATCGGTGGGCAGGAAAGATTTTAAACTCCCAGTACTCCAGCCAATGAGGGGAAAGGAGGAGGGAAGAAGCAGCTGGGGGCAGGGCATAAAAAGGGGATGTGAACATGTGCTCAGGAGAACTGCCTGTATTCTTCTGGTCTCAGTTCAAGGTGCTGGTCTTAACCTGTAAGCCCTATACAATATGGGACCACAGTACCTGTTGCAGTGAGAGACTGAGGAAAGTTGAATCACTCCAGATTAGGCAAAGGTTGTCTTGAGTCTGAGTAATTCCATTTGTCCTCAGTAACCCCTTAAGCTAATTAAGCTTAGGGTCCAGCACTATATATATATATATATATATATATAGCCTGGAATGGTCCTGATAATGATACTGTCTATTTAGAACTGTTACCTTTGTTTTGTGGTGTTATGCAGAAAATACATTTTGCTTGGAGTTTTTGTTGTTATTTGGAATTTGTCAATTATATCCTAAATCTGTTTCCAGCTAGCAAAATAAAGGTTTGTGGCTATGACAGTTATGGTTATAATCAAAGATGTTATGGTGTTGAAGCCTACTTTGTACATTAGTGTAATTGTTGAGAAGACTTTAAGGAATATAATTAGATCACTTTCAGGTAATACCAGTTGTGATAGTATCAAAAATACTACCACACATAATTTTGTTGTAATTGTTACAAACACCTGTCAGCTAGGTCAGTATTTTCCCATGTTGAAGCCAATTTACTGTACACCCTATGCATGTACACTCAGTTTCATGTAATTCAAGTGGATTTTCTCCCAGAGAAATGTGGATGGGATTGCCATTTTACTATATTGGTGGGCAAAGACAACATTAAAAAAACTTCCTAATTTATAGCTCAGTGTCTTAGCAATTTCAATACATCAGCATTTATGGATTTCTGATTTTGGGGAGTTCCCATATGTTATGTGTGAGTGGCTTTTGTTGGGTTGGTTCTCAAGCATAAGTTTTCCTTGTGACATACAGATGGATGCTTATGAAGTACAGTTAAAGGATGTTAGTTGCTTTCATCATCACTGAAAGTGAAATGAGAGGTGCTTAAACTTAGATTTTTCTGCAGGAGTGGAAAAACTTGGGTTGTGCTGACTACTTTTGTATGCTATGTATCTCAGATAAGAACTTTTTCTTGCAAGACTTCATAAGAATAGATATTTTCCCTTGTACTACCATGTCAACAGCTGTCGAGAAAATATGCTACTCCAGCTCTGTATACTTCAGACAATCATCTGAGTGGGATGGTGTAAATTGGTGACTTACAACAACAGGTGGTTGGACCAGATAGCCTCCCTGGCCCCTTCTGATGCTACTGTTTTATGATTCTGTAATAAGGCTATGTAGAATCCTCAAAAAAGGACAGTTAATTTAGGAATTTTCTTTCTGCATATGGAACAGTGGTAGTGGCAAAGAGAATCAGAAAGTAACAATAGTATTTTATTTATAGCATGGAATGTTAAATCTTTGCATTTCATCTCTTTAGAAATACCATGCCTACCACAACTTTGTTTGCCTTTGATAGGGATTTTTCTGCAGCTTTATTCTTAGCAGTAATGTTCAAATTTGAAGCATATGCAAATAGCAATACAGTAAGTCATACTGCTAAAGTATAAACATAATGAAAATTCTGTGTTTCTTGTATATTTACTTCTAGCTCTTTAGCAGTGCCATTTACTACATGTCCTTTAGGCAAGTGTCCTTTTAGATAGAGGAAATAAAGAGCATAGAACTGAGCACTTCAGTAAATATGAAATGTGAAGTCCTTGGAAAGACTCTCATTTTCCATTGGGTTTGGTAGGCAGAACCCAGCACATTTTGGTTTGCCTTGTTTGCTAGCCAAAAGCTTCTCACTAGGATTTCCCTGCCAAATCCCTGACTTCAAGTTGCACCCCAGAAATTTCTGTTCCTTTCTGCAACCCCAACTCCTACCTTAGAGAGGAGGGTTCTACTGTGAGCTACAGCAGAGGCATATTAAGAACCTTGCTGTACTTTCTGTGACCATCTTGTAGCTGGAGGTGGGAAGTGCAAGTATTACCTTGAAGGAAACACCCAACTGATATAACTCTGCCTCTAGCTTTAAACTGGAGACACATGGGGAAATTTGCCTTAATACATTTCAGTCTTGCCTAGATAATTTAATTTTGCTGAGCTTCTGAGGCACTTCTTACTCAGGAGGTGCTGCTTCTGCTAATTACATTTAATGCTACTCCTACATGTGAAAGGTATTGGAGAGCATGAATACCTCTTGTAGCCAAAGGCCATTAGATTTCCTGGAATGAATAGCAAATACTTGCTATTTATGAAGGCAAGTATTTGAAAAGTTAAATTTTGCTGGCTACAGCTTCCATTGCTACAGTTGTCTTGTGTTAAAATTGCTAATGTGTTGCTTCATTTCATATAAAACAAGCTTAGTAAAATGCTGAGCTAAGCTTTTCATATACTCTATGGTTCTAGGACTCTTCATTGTGAAATGATAAACTGTACTGTTTTTACCTTTATAGTTATATAAAGATCTTTATTAATTCAGTTCAATTAATCACATGATTGCCAAAGCTATTTTTCAAATTAGAATTTTCTGAACAACCAGAACTTTAGAAGTCACAAATCTTGGTATCTGAGCACTATTTTCTGTGAGCAAGAGCATCGTGAACTAAATATTCTTTTTCTTATTCTTGATCTTGACTATAATTAATGGTCATTGACCTGTCTGATCTATGAAGACTTCTGTAAATGAACTCAACCAATCTGTTTGTCATGTGAGAGTTCTCAGAGTTAATAAGGTCTTTTCCTACTTTCTCTTGGGGGGTGGGGTAGGAATTCTAATTATAGTCAGGTAAATATTGACAATATTTTTAAGGATTTCCATGATGCTTTCATTGCATAAATTTGAACTAGCCGTGTGGCTCATAATTGCACTCTGTTCTTGACAAATGAAGTTGAAGTGAGGGATGCTGAAGAACTATTTATTGAAAAGGTTTTAAAACTAATGGAGAAGGAAAAAGGTTAAAATAGGTGGTTAACATGAAGAATGAAATCAGGTTGGATTTCATTTAAATTACTAGTCAGTAAGACTAGATTTAAATTATGTCTTTCTACATAATTTGCAGGTATGCCTGCCTAGGTAGAAAAATGTCATTAAAATATTCCCAAACTGGGTCTCTTTGACAGCCAGCTGCTATTATATGATTTCTCCTTCACAGAAAGAATAATATGATAAACCTCAGGCTATACACAAAAAGATTCAAAGACTTGTGGAGTATTCTGCCCAAAAGGGTTCCCTTATATTTTTCCTGCTTGTCCCTCCCTCTTCAAACTTAACTTCTTGCACAGATCTATTCTGTTCCTAATAATATTCTTCTATTCATTTTTTTTTTTGAAACTTCATGCTTAAGAGGTAAGGGGTTGATTCTGTGTACAGAGATTTGCAAAGGAAGAATGAGATTATGGACTTTTTCTCAAATCTGTATGTTTATTTTATATCACTTTTGCTGTAAAGGAGAGGCATTTGATCTCTGTAAACACAAATTCACAGTTTTGAGATCCGTAAAATCAAGCATGTGATATTTTCTAGATATAAAAAATGCCCAATGATCTTACAGAAACCTCTGCAAGAGCATGACATTGTGAACAGTTTAATGGAATTCATTTACCAGAAAAAGTAAACATTGAATGTATATACAGCCTCATGCTATGTAATTAAAAACTGATCCTTATTTCATGATGAATAACCTTTGGACTATAATGTATTTTAAACAGAAAGCTATCTTTAGATAGATTTTTCCTCAAGAAGCATTTTATTTCTTTTAAATCCTATTTAAATAACTAATTTTTATGCACTGTGATTGAAATTTATGTAAGAAATGTATTTAAAAGGAGCAGATTTATAAAATGAAAAATGGATCAAAGACAATCCCATTGACATTTGTTTTCTCTAAAGGTATACATTGGTGAACTTCCTCAGGATTTCCTTCGCATCACTCCAACACAACAGCAGCAGCAGATTCAGCTGGATGCCCAAGCAGCCCAACAATTACAGTATGGAGGAGCAATGGGTACTGTTGGAAGACTAAGCATCACTGTAGTGCAGGTATTAAAAACTTATTTAAATGTACCACATGTTTAGATGTTATGAACCACCCAGAGGGCTTCAGCTATGGGTATACAAATGTGGTGGTGATGCTTTGAGTGTTGTGCTAAAGATGGCATTGCCATGGTTGGTACACCTAAAAAGTAGCAGTGGCTTTACACATTATTACTACTTCTTGGCTCATAAGCAGTGTGTATCACTCTGACAGGGTAAAACAAGTTCCATACAGTACGAAATGCTATTTATGTTTGGAATTGCATGGATTTAGAGTAATTGTACCCTCAAGCCATTAAATAGTATCAATTCTGAGAGCAGTACAAAGAAGGTGAGTAAATATGCTTTCCTCATTGGTAGGTTTTAAATTTCTAACTTTGGACACTTAAAATTTTGGTGGTGATTTTAAAATGGAACTCTGTTCCTAAGCATAGCATTTATTTAGGGCATTAGTGAAGAATGCCCTTGGTAAGCCTTTCATGAATATAAAAACTTCAGTAGGTCTGTGTTTGCCCAGGAATACTATGTAAAATGCATAGTTGTAATTGGAAAATGGTTAAATGCAAGGCTTTCAAATCATCTCTGGACACATTAGCCAGGTTTGCATGTCACATTGTGCCACACTTCAAATATGGCACAGTGATGTGTTTGTGCTCTTCAGAACTTGCAACACACCTGAGAGACAGTCTGTCTCTCTACATACACACACATACGTTCAGCACCTCAGACAAAGCACATTTGGAGTTAGCATCTGTACAAGACAAATTTAAAGAAAAACTCTTTCTTTCTTGGTTCCTCTCAGGTCCACAAGTGCATATTTACAGCTATCTAACATGCCTAATTTTGCCAGGTCAAATCTTTTCTTCGTTTCAGTTGCCAAAGGGAGAACATGGCAAGACTGCATATAAGCTAATTTGTGCATGGTTGCCAACTGTCATTTGTGTAGCTGACAGTTAAAAAGTGTAAGTAAGTGGGGAAAAGTAGAGAAAGAGGGTGCATCAAAAGGGGTCGGTGTCAGTATCACCCGCTTAGTAATGTAATTGTCTCAAGTATAATGGATGTCTCAATATGAGATGGATCGACTCCACAAAGAAAGCCACAGCCCTTGGTTTATAAGGGCTGAACAGGGCTGTGAAGGACAGGACATTTTCTAGGGCTTTCATTCATAGGGTCACCCTAGGGAGGTGAATTCTGTCAGCTCAACAATTTTGCTTTTATGTGCTGCCAGGTCAAGTGCCTTCCACCAACACTGTGCTGAGTCTCAGGCAACTCCAGAAAGGGAAAATCTCTTCCCACACATCTCCTTTTGATGTGGCTCCTTTTTTAGAGTGGTAACTGCACTGGTTACTTTCGCTGAGATTTCAAAAAGAACTGCAGAAAATTATGCAGTTTCCAATTAGGTTGGGAAGTAAATGCAGGGGAACTTTGTGTGTGTGCAGGGGTAATATTTCCCCTTTCTGGAGTAGCAGCAGACTCAGGGGAAGTGTTTGGAAGGTGTCAGTTTGACACAGTCAAGGATTACATTCAAGGAATCAATGTCCCACCCCCTTTTGGTGCACATTCTTTCTTCACATTTTATACTTTACCAAGGATTTTCCATTGACAGCTTTTTTTCTCTGGCAGCTGTGTGCAATTTAATCTGTATACAATTTTGCCTTGTATTGGATAGTTATACGTATGTACTTGCACACTTTCTTAGGACTGACAAAGGGGGAAAAACAATTTTAAGGACCTGAAAATGTTTTTAAAAGTATAAAACCCAAATGTGTGTTTTTTATGGCTCTGAAAATTGAAAAGCTGAGGAACAAGTGACAGTTCTGCCAAAGTGCAGTTTTGGCATGAGTGGAAGAGAAGTCACTGGCAAGATCATGAAAGAGTGACATGGACTATTGCTAAGTCACTCTGTAGTTGTTCCCTTCAAGACACACACACAAATATCCTGAAATATCCCATCATAGGTCCAGCAAGCACTAGAATAACCCACAGCTTCTCAAGGTGGCTTGTTTTTGATAAAAGAGCTACAATGCAGAAACCACACCAGGGTCAGACAAGATTAATACCCACCACAGCTGGCTACTTAAGGAATGTTCTTACATCATGTGAACCATATCATTATCTTGGTATTGCTTCTTTGTCTGCTTATACCTTGAAAATAAATGCAGACTGCATTCTCAGAATTCTCAATATACCTAATGAGCCTTCAAATGAATTGCAAATAGATGGAAAAAATATCTAAGTTTAAGCTTTTGAGGAATTAATGAAAACAACTCCATGAACATCTTTTTGTAATGACTATTTTGGAACCTCATGTTTCTGTTTTGGTTTTTAAAATCTGAGACATTATTTAATAAAAAGCTCTTACCTTTTTAGTGATGTTTTCTACTGCATACAGTTTGCCCCCTTGTTCCCTGCTAAGACACAAAAATGCATAGCCCTCTAGGCAAGGCAAATGCAGTAGATCTTTGGCCTTGCTAATACTATCTAATCTAGAACATAAGATGAGGCACCAGTTGCAGAGAGAAGGATGAGCAAACCTTGGGAGGCCCCCAAGGAACTGAATGCTCTTACTCTTTTCGATGAGAATTTCTTTTAAATTTGAAGGCATTATTTTGCAGTCTCTCTGTAATGCCTGTTTTATACTCTGCTCAGTTTTGTTATCAACAGCACCACACATGAGGTGTAAGTCCAGTGTATAGTTACCTTTGAGCATGGGTCGTCAAACTACGGCCTGCGGGACGGATCCAGCCCGCCATGGCCATCCATCCGGCCCATGCCACCATTGGCCACCTGCGCATGTGCTTGCTGTGCAGGTGGGGAGGTGGTGGCTTGCCCGCTCAGAGATGGTCTCTGAGCGAGCAAGCCGCCACCTGCCTCCCGTACGCGCGCACTCGAAGATGGTCTCAGAGAGCAAGCCACCGCCTGCCTCCTGTTTGTGTGCACTCATTGCTGCATGGGCGGGGCGGTGGCGGCTTGTTCACTTGGAGATGGTTTTGGACTTGCGTGCGCCTCGTGCCACCTCGCGTGCACCCCATGCTGCCTCATGCGTGCCCCCAGGCACCCCCACCTCACCAGCCTGCGACAGTCACTGCAGCCTTTCAACTGGCTCCCTATTCAAAACGTTTGAGGACCCCTGCCTTAGAGCTTTACAAATTAACCTGCACACATGCAGCAAAGTAGGTATACATGCATCCCTTTATAACATTAAATGTAATCCATTCTACTCTGGGTAGGTGAACTTAATTTAAACTCAGCCATTTGATTTGGCAGAAAGCCTTGATTTGCATTTTCATTCTAATTAATTTGTTTAAAAAATTATTCTTACTGGTTAATATAACTTAATATTTTGATTACAGCAGAAAGACATGTTACAGTTTAGGAAAACGAATGAAACACCAAATGTATTAATTCCTTTTATGTCTGTTTCCTTAGGCAAAATTGGCAAAGAATTATGGGATGACACGCATGGATCCATACTGCAGAATACGACTTGGCTATGCTGTGTATGAAACCCCTACAGCTCATAATGGAGCCAAAAATCCCCGATGGAACAAAGTTATTCAGTGCACAGTTCCCCCTGGAGTGGATTCTTTCTATCTTGAAATATTTGATGAGGTTAGAGCTGTGTATGTATTTTAAGTGTGATTTAGATGGGCTTTGGGCTGAAGAATACCTTTTTGGCACAACTACTGTTTGGTTTCAATTCACCCTAAAAGAGAACTGATCATTCTCTGCTTCTTGCCCTGGGCTGTCAGGATTGGCAGCAGGGCTTGGCATTTAGATGCAACTTTACACTTAGGGGCACATTTTACTCAACTAATAGCAGTTGTGTTAGCAGCCTTTTTTTCCTCACCCCTGTACCCTCAGCAGTCATCTCTAAGCTAACAACTTTTTCTGATTATGACAATAAATGAATAGATTTTAAAAGACTTTCAGATGTTATCAACACACAATATTCTTTCATTTCCCCAACAGAAAACCCTGAAAGTGAAAGAAAAACATATTTTCCTCTGCAGTTCATCTTAATAACCTTCATGTTAGCAATATAAAAAACTCAAGTTTTCTAAAGCATGCAAATCCTTTCAGGTTTCAGTCTTGTTTGATGCTGACAGGCAAAAGTTAGGACATGAATTAAGACCCTTCTGCTTGCATTCCCTAGCATCTGGTGTACATAAGCATCTTACCTTTGATACTGAGGGTAGCATATAGCCCTTATGACTAGTAGCAATTGCTGGCTTATCCTCCATTACTTGGACTAAGCCTCTTTTAAATCATCTGATTGGTGGCCATTACTACATCTTGTAGTAGAGGCCTATAAAAGACAATTACTTTTGAGGGGTTTCTTGCTAGGATTTGCTTCTATTTCTGTAATATTTGGTTGGATCTGGATGAAGTACATTGAATTACTATTTTTCCTTTTTTTTTTTTTTTTAAACAAATTTTAATTTTTTTTTTTTTTTTTTTTTTTTTTTTGAAACAAGTATTAATGTGTTGTGTTATCCTTCAGTTATTTCCACTGAATCTTGGGGAATTTTGTAATGAATTATTTCATTAAGTCCCACTGATTTCAGTGAACAAAAAGAACAAATATTTATTAATCAAATGCCTTTTGGTTGCTTTGGCTTATAATGATCCTGCATTGGGGAAATTTGTTTGAATGTGGTAAGGACTGTTATAAATATTACACACTATGGTGACACTCTATGAATCAGATCTTGTGCTAGCAGCAGGAAAGGAGTTGACAAACTCCCAAATCTCTTTACTGTTGCTTATCATCCTCCACTTTCCCTTTTTCTTTTCTGAACATGTAATTATTTCAATATCCTCTTGGGCTCAGGACAGAGGATCTGTAACAGTTAGAATGATGTTGGACTCTTGTAGATTAGCACTAATGTGATTGCACAGTTTTTTGGGTTGCTTTAGCTGTAATATAGACCAAAATGGTGGTGAATGCTACTCCCCAGGGTTTGCTATTATGAAAGTGAATTTCCAGTATGAGAATAATAATTCAGTTTCTGAAACTTTTTTGCAAGCAATTTTCTTGTTCTTGCTGTCCAAACTATTAGAATATCATTGTGCAGGTATTCAGATGAGTTGGCTTGGAAATGTGTAAGGAAGAATATAACAAGTATTGTAGATTTACTTGTTATAAGTATGATTTTATCTCTTCTTATTATTTTTACATAGTCTCATATATAAATGCAAATGGATTTCCTCTTGAACTGTGTTGCATTAAACAAATAGACGTTGTATTTCTTCCAAATATAGGAGACTTAAGGTTATATAAGTGATTATATTATTTTCATTAAAAGGCTATTGGAGGTGCTCAGGAAACACTATGGTAGAAGCTTCCTTCCTTGATAATTCTGACTGTTGTTTCACTGCCATTCAGTACTTTTAATCAGTATATTTTACATCTTCCCAATACTTTATACTGATCCAAGTGAGAACTCATTTGCTAGATCAGGGTGGCTGTTTAACTGGCTATGGAAAAAGGTATAGGACTTTAGAATGTGTCATAATCTCAAATAGATTCCTGTCTTTCCAGAAAGGTAAAGACTAAAGGAGGAGATGTTGACAAAGCATGAGGATGATCTCCTTTTCTTCCATTGAAGTTAATGAATTAATGAAGTTCCTATCCATTTCATACACCTGTGGTTATGGTTCACAAAGAGATGTACTTTACAACAGGAGTGGGCAGAAAGTAGATCTCTAGATGTTTGGGAATTCAGCTCCCCAAAGCCCTTACTAACATGGCTGAAGCTCAGGAGTGCTGGGAGTTCAAGTCCAAAATATCTGAATATTTACTTTTTACCAACCCTGCTTTAGAGGGTGACTTGTGGCTTAGGGTCATACAGGTGAGATTTGTATGCAGATGAAGCTTTTAACTTTTGTTAATTTCTTTGTCAGAAACACTGAACCTTCATTGCTATGATATTTAGTGAAGAAAGAACTCCTACATCATTTCATTCCAAGGCCATCAGGCCCCCTCTAGATAGTAATCTTGATGCAGCTGCTTATTCTTAGAACCTAATTTCTAACCTATAATGCTAATATAAAAGCTCTGCTTTGTTTACCTTTATATTTTTTGTTAGATCAACTAATTCTGAGGAAGTTATGTTTCAGTTCATATTAAGATGTTAGCTTTCAATAAGCCTTGATGTACAGTGTCCTCCATGAACCATCACATTTCGTTTTAGGGATGAACTTATCATACACTCTGGAAAGAAAACTAGTTTCCTTCTGAGGAACAGATTATAGCAGATTACACTGAAGTAATTTTGATTTTGTGTGAATGCTACTTTGATATATTAATATTACATGCATGGCCTTGACACTGAATTTCTTTCCTTTTAACAACTATTCCCTGTATTTGAAAAGCAGTGAATTTCTGGATTTAATGACCTAAATATTTTTTATTACTTACAGCGAGCCTTTTCAATGGATGATCGCATTGCTTGGACACACATTACTATTCCTGAATCACTGAAACAAGGAAAAGTAGAAGATGAGTGGTATAGTCTGAGTGGAAGGCAGGGAGATGACAAAGAAGGAATGATTAATCTGGTCATGTCATATACGGTAAGCTCTATGATGAGAATTGCTTTTGCATAAGAGGTGATACATTCAGTGAGAAAATGAAAGGTGAAGAAGTTTTGTTGTTAAATAAAAATCAGGCTTATTTTACATTTAGGAATTATTAACCTAATACATCCAGCCTATGAAACAAAAAGTTCTGAGTTTTGGCATGGTCTTGGAGGTATGTAGGCCTTTTTTAGAACCTCCAAATTGCCTATTAAATTTCATTGAATTTACAAGCAGTTTGGGATTTGAGGGGGAAAATTGATTGCACTTTTTCTCCAAAGAATTGTTTTGCCAAATTTCTGGAAAATAGAAAATAGCAACAACCAGTTTCCAGGAGGGCAGCTGATAAAAGGGAAGCTTTCAAGAACAGCAAACCATTATAGTTATGCATTTATTTACTTTTATTAAATGCTTCATAAAATGCATGTATCTAGGTGATTCACTACACAAATAAAATCATAATCATCAACATAAAATTAATAAACACGCTAATACAGCTTAAAATAAATTATCAAGTATAAGAAATAAAATTGGACTGTAGGGACAGAAGTAATAAAATATTTTTAAATACTTTTCAAAATTTAAAATGCCTGAGAGAACTGAAAAGTCAGCCTAGTGCTGAGAAGGGGGCAGTGTGGGTATCAGGCAAACTTCCTTGGAAGGGCTTTCTGGAGCTGGGAGGCCACCACAGAAAATGCCCTCTTGTTGCCATTCTCAGAGCATCAGAATGAGGGAGCACTTTAAGAATGGTTTCCATGGAGATCATGGGCAGATGCATATAGAAGGTGGTGTTCCATCAGGCACTGAGGCCTCATGGCTTGAGGAGCTTTGCAAGTCAAAGCCAGCACTTTGAATGGGGCCTGGATTTGGAAACAAATCAATGTTTGCTTCCCAGTGCAGGCAAGAAAGGACAGACATACTAAGTTCATAGCAGTCAGCAGTCCCTTTGGATCACATGTGTCGTCATTAGTGCAGGTTCAGAGTAATTTCTTTGTGCTTTCACTTTAGAGTTACATTAATTTAAAAATCTGAGTTCCATGTATTAGAAGAAGCAGCTTACCTGCAGAAAAATTACAATCGTAGCAGCAAAAGTATCAGGGAAAGTGATCTCTCCCTCTCTCTGTGAGAGACAGTAATTTTTGAGCACTGAAAGGCTTTGCTGCTAGTCTTCTTATCTAGTTTTCTTACAGTCATTTGAAAACATTTAAATGAAACGTATTGATTCTAGTGTTTTACACCCTGCCATTTATTTTCACTTTGAGAAGTCACCATGCGCAGATTAGTGTTCTATCCGGAAATGCCCCTCCGTGTGTACAAAATCTTTTTTGTGCACAGAAAGGCCATTTCTGACTTACTATAAGATCCTTGTTTGAGAAAAGAGAATGGAAGTTCAAAAGAATGTTCCTCTTTGGACAAGGCATTGTTCAAATTCTTGCAGAAGGTATTGCACAACACAGCACAATCTGTACTGTTAGCCCTTGCACAACAGCTCACGGAGTAGTGACACTCCTACAATTCCTTCTTCTCCTGCATTTCTACATCCTGCCCACAGAAATCATTCTACAAGTTCTGTATTCTTTCCCTTAAAGGGAAATGGTGCCTAAAACTTTCTGCAGTTTGTTTAAAAATTTGGCTTCACTGGAAGTAATCAGACAATCTATTTTTTCCCTTATTTATTTGTATGAAGTGGTACTGAACAAAACCTAAACAAACACAATTAAAAATATAAAATAAAATAGTACAGTTTTCGTATGTAAAATTTAAATAAATCCATAATAAATATTTAAGTATTTGCATTTAGGAAGACATTAATGTATTAAAGATAATTATGCATAAACAAAGGCAGACCAAATAGCATATTTATCCATCCATAAATTATGCCTAAAGTCTATTAAAAAACTGAGAATTTCATTAAGTACTCCACCCACTGTGTCATCGCAGATGACTTTTTATTCTTCTGATATTGTAGTACTAATTTTCTAGTCGTCAAAAGGGTGCAGAAAATCCATTTGCAATGACCTTGTGTTAAATTTCAGGAGACCAGTAAGTAATTAAGGAGGACATGTATATCATATTAAAAAGCTTTCCATTAAAATGTATCTGAATTATAATCTCCCAGAAGGAAGCAGCCATTGAACATTGGCAAAACATGTGAATAAGAGAAGCAATAGCTTCATTGGACCTCCAGTGGTTGGCTAATTCAATTAAGCTCTTATCAGACAGATTGCACCATCCAGTATTCTCAAAGCATCTATTCTTGTTGCATTAAATATAATGCAAGATCCATTATCCCTTCTGAAACAGGTGACAATGAAGAACTCCATTCACTGGGCAAAACTGGGTGTCCAATTCATTATCCCATGTTTCCTTAAGACCCCGCATAGCATATTTATTCACTAACAATAAACTTTTATACACAAAGATTGTAAGCTGATGTAGCTGTTCACTCTCAGTCAATACTTCTAATAACACAGGGCTCTGAAGGTGTAAAACCAGCAGGGACGACCCTAGTTTCTAGCAAATGTCTCAATACATATATTGTCATGCAGCCATAACTTGCCATTTATATTTAGCATACAAAGCAGAAAATGACAAATAATGATCATCGGCTGACAAGCTGATCCAAAGTAGAAAATCATCCTATTCTCCAATCCTCCAAGCAAACATTTTCTTACAGTTAAGTCCAGATTTTTGCATTGCGTTAATTAGGGTGAAAATATGTGAAAATAAGTCAAATCGCAAGTGAAAATATGTGCCACACCTCTATTAACCACTGAAACTTTAGGAGGCAACATTCCTTTGAAATGTTAATTCATTCAGGAACATTTTGCTTTAATCTTCCTAGGAAATGTTATTGACTTGTGCCGAAATGTTGTGCTCTACATGTAGGAACACAGCAATCTTGAAAGATTTTGTGGAAATACATTTTTTTGCTGCTTCATTTTTGTTCCTAGAATCATTTTTGAAATAATTTTCTGTCATGCTTTAATACCTAGTCCTTACCAGCTGCCATGATGATGCAGCCTCAGCCAGTAGTCCTGATGCCTACAGTTTATCAGCAAGGAGTTGGATATGTGCCTATAACAGGTATGTTACCCCATCTTTCTCTTTGTAATATGAGCATTGAAAAAGAAATCTCTTGAAAATTGCTAAGTGTAAACAGGTGTAAGAGCCAAAGTCTGTTCCCTGAAGGACTCAGCTTTTAAAATTTAATATTTAGTGGGAAAATGTAATTTAAAGACTAATAGGATGTTTGCATGCTCAAGGTGTGTACAGATAACTAGAGATGATGTTTCTGTAGTTTTTACTTTAGCTGCATTCAGCTGCAACACAGTGTAGCATTCCAAGGATGAGCCATGGTGATCTCTGGATTTGTGCACTCCCCCTTCTCCTCTGGCATAGGTGCTCAGAAGCTTCAACCCATAGTTTATTTTCCAGCAACCATTAACTGCAGCTTGTCCGGGTTTTTGATAACATGCAAGCTGCAGTCTGTCAAAAACAGAAGTTGAAAGAATTCCCCCTCATGAGAGCTCTGGGGGAGAAGGGGTCTGCAAGTCTTAGGCTTCCTGTGGCTCACTCTCATAATGCTATGGCTTTATGCCAGAAACTACCTGGTACATTTCGTATGTTACGTGTTTTCTTATTTATGTTTTAATATCTGTCCAGTTTGGCTTCATGGAAATATAGTTTTTCAGACAGTGCTTATTAAAAGCCAAAAGTTCCTCTTAGCGGTGTAACTAGAATTGTTGCACTAGAAACATGGATAATTTGATGTGACTTGTTCTCCTACTTTTTGTGTCCTTACCACTCCCCTTTTGACTTGTGCCTGGAACCGTTTGGGAATTGTGTTAAAAAAATACTTTCTTATTTATGTAGAAGGAATGCTTACCTGCATAGCTTTATGACTGCACATAAATATGGGTGATCTTGAATGGTGAAAGACTACTTGCCCTCAGGAGTGCCTGATTATTCTAGACTTCTTTCTTCCTTACCAGTTAAATTGACTAAGCAGCTGTAATTAGTTTGTAATCTGATCAAGTCATTTCACTATTATTTAATTTCTCTTGGACTCAGACTGCAGAGAAAATAGGAAAACTGACCAAACAGATTCTAAAGATGTTCTGCTCTTCTGTGTTTTGTTTTTGGTTTTGTTTATTTTAATAGCTATCAAAGTACCCATTCTGTATCAGAATTAGTGCCACTAGAGGGTGGGGGAACTTCTCCTATTGTTCATGAAAAATTATTATACACAGGTTCTGCTGATTTTCAACAGCAAATCACTTCCCATTCTGTATTTTTACGGTTTGCCAGTGCTACTATGCAAAAGAATAAATACTACACTAAAAGAATGCTCTCAAAGCAGGCATCAGTGTGAATTGGGGATAAGAGATATTTCAACTGCTTTCAAAGTTTGGGACTTTATGGTTTTGGAATGTTATTGTATCACCAGTATGTCATGTGTTTTTATAATTTTGTGTTGTAAGACTGACATACTTATTACATCTGTTCCCCTCTCCTTGAAACCAGGCACCAAAAGACTAATAATTTGTATTTCCTAAACTTCTGATAGCTGAAACTTTTTTATCTTGCTCATCACCCCTGTTGTAATTGAAATACTTTTCATACTCATAACTGAAATAGTGTACTTTTAAGAGCTGGTAAATGGCAATGGATAACCTCCTTACAATGGTTTATTATAAAGACTGATCCCATCACATTCAGTGCAAAGATAGAACAGAACCTAGCCCACTGGAAGTTGATTAGAAAAAGGCAAGACCAGAGCAGTTAATTGCACAGTCACATATTTATTATTTATTTGATTTATATATGCCACCCAATTAGCCATAGGCTCTCTGGGTGACATACATAGGTGAGCCTTCTCTGGGATAGTTCAGGATCATGCAATCCTTGAATTATTCAGTAATCTCTCACAACAAAACAAAATGCTCTTTTTTGGATTGATTAATTTTAACTCTAAGTCTGTAGGCATTATTTCGTATTTGTGTTTCTTTTAATTATCCTGAATATCATGTTTAAAGCTTCACATGTCAGGAGTAGCTATGATAGCTGGCTTTTTGAAAAGCAACAAAGTCCTACGGTACCTGAAAGATCAAGAGATTCATTATAGCACACACTTCTGCAGATTAGAGCTTAGTCAAATTAGCAATTATCTATACACACACAGGTTCAGAAAGCAATTGTGTACAGTGGATCCAAGAGCCTGCTGTAAGATCTGCAGAGCAAAATGTATTTCCAATAAGAACAGTAAACAGTTCTTATTAGTATTACTATATTTTACCTGTGTTAATTTATCACCTGTAGAATGAAAAGTCTAAACAGAATAGAATCCAATTTGCTGATAAGCTAAAATTGATCAGGGTTCTTGTCCAGGAAAGCTTATGCCACAATAAATCATTCCCCAAGGGGGGCTACAAGCCTTTTCTAGCTTGATGTTAACTTTTTTGTTTTTCATGAGTGTACACTAAATCATGGTGCGTTGTGATGTGTTGGAATATAATATTCTTATACCCCGCATTTTTCATTTTTTAAAGCATCACTTCTGCTGCTGCCATCTGTTTGGCTTTTTGTTGCTTCTTTTAGCAGAAAGCCCTATCACTTATTTCCTTTACTTATGGCAGACATAATGAGCTAGAGGTCTATGGGTGGTGTTTGGTCCCTGTTCATACTTTATGTGGCCCTTCTTTTCATTCCCAAGCCACATTTGACCTGCAGGATGACATTTCTCACTTGTCAAGAGTTCCTTGAAGAAGGAAAGTTGGGGCAGTCTCTCAGAACAGTATTTGCTGCATAAAGAGCCTCTCTTTTCATTTTGTTCTTAACCTGACCTGAACTGTTTGTCAAGTGAGTTTGCTCAGTGAGTTACATTAGCCAGTCAAAAGGAGCACAACATCCCATAACATCTTTCTGAAGACAATATGCTGAACCCTAACTCAGTCCCCATTGGGAAACAAAAGTCAGCGCTCCTGTGAACACAGACTTCTGGACCAGCTGTCCAGCAGAGGGAAGCAATGATACCTATCTCAAAAGCAGTGCATAAAGTGCTGATTCTTACTTGACACAGAAAATCAGACTCTTGGAAGAGGTCTCTGTGACATCTCCAGGTAGACATCTAATCCCCTTGAACAGTTTATGAGGGATTTTGACATCACAAGCTGAAGATGTTGGCCATCTCTGGCAGAGTTACTGATCAGATTGTGGCTATTTCTTTCACAGAAAAATTCTTGTTCGTAGTGGACACCTAAATTTGGCTCTGTAAATGATTAATACAATAGCAAGCTAGGAAATTAGTAGGAAATTTACCATCTTGCCTTCAGTTGCATGGATCTCTGGGAGGAAATACCTTGTTCATGGTACAATTTTCAAAAGGAGGTTCCAGCTTTAGCAACTATCTTTTTTTTAAATGAAGGTTATTAAACATTGGACTTGAGAGATGCTTAAATGACTTGTGACATATTTCATGTTGTCTTAAAGTCTCACAGTGTAATGCATTCTCAAAGTTGAATTGTACTGGGATCTATAGACAGTTGTTCTTTTGTATTTGATTTAAGAGGCATAAACCTGGATTGTGCAGTTCCCCAAATACATTCCTTCTTCCTTCCATTTAGCACTTCTCAGTTCTGTTTTATAGAAGGAAGATATGACTTGGCATATAGCAGAATGGAATTACCTTCACCAAACATGAAACAAATATGTAGAAGACCTTCATGGTCATATGTATAGTCTTCCTGTGGTGAATGCATAAGTGTTAAATGACCAGAAGTAGGTATTAAATTATGTTCGCAGAGGCTCAACAGTGGGCTTGTTTAAGTATCTTACTTAAATTGAGATTCAGATGTCCTGTTTGTCAGATAGCTCTGTGATCTTCATTTAGCTTCTCTAACACTGCTATCATTCCTCTGAAACTCTTGTCACAGTGAATGAGAATGCAGTCCATATCCAAGGAAAATTATTCATTATTACCCAATTCTTATGTAAAAGAGCAGAGTGTTGTGGCATCTCCAACACTGTCACATTTATTATGGCATAAGTTTTTTGCAGACTCGAACATGCATCTGCATGATGGATTATTGTGAAGAGAGCTGTACAATTTCTAGAAATTTTAAAGCCATAGAAAAGCTTTCTCCCACACATTTCTTACCTTCTTATAAGATTTTAACTTATTTAATATGCATAATTTATGCCTCAGCATGTTTGATTGTACATATTTGCACATACATAAACCCATTCTGTATGAAACCTACATTGAGGTAAAAGCATATGACTGCTGTCTCAAATGTCTAAATGCTTTAGTTTTGTACAAGCACAATTAAAAATATATCTAATACGAAAAAGAGGAACTACTGAAAAATGGTACATCATATGCAGTCTAAGCTTATATATCTTGACAACTGAACCCACATTTTCTAAAGTAAACCAAGGAAAGTGCATTCTTAATATTAAGAACTAGCAACATTTGGGTTATTTAGTTAAACGTCAGAAAAACACTGAAAGGGATGGTGTATATCTGTTATGTACACAGGAATTTGGAGTAGTTTTGGATGTTGCCTGTGCCAGCCAGTCCCACCGGCAACTGAACAGGAAGCTAGTGTTCCTTGGGCAACCCCAGAAACAATGGGAGAGTTCAGCAGAGCTCATATGCGCACGCATGTGTGTACATGCACACGTGAAGAGTACAACAAATGAAGTACAAACATATCGAATCAGTGTCAATTACCCATATTTCAAAGATTTTGTCAGTTTAGCCACATGTCTGCTAATACTAATTTTGAAAGGGAAAACCCATTCTTTGAAGTTTAGAAGAAGTTGGACAATAGATGTCATGATTTTGCAACATCTGTAAATTAAGATGTGTTTTGTATACTTTTTAATTAAGGAATATATACAAATTAAAATACATTTCAACCTAGTCTTGTTCTTGGACAAATGTAATGGAGGTGGTTTTCTATTAACTCTTTTTATCTTCTGAAATAATTGTGAATTGTTTTCTGACAATCAACCTGAATCATGAAAGGGATGCTACCTTCGGTACAGAGTAAGAACCTTGCTTTTGTTGTGAGAATTGTAAATAGTAATGATACTTAAATAAATTTTGGGGTATTGAAATACAGTTGAACCTTGACTTTTGCGGGTTTAACTTTTGTGGATTTGATTATTTGTGAGTTTGCCATCAATAATTAAATGGGATTTTTTTTGGAGTTTTGCGATCTACTGCAGCCCACTGCCTACTGCTCCACAGGCAGCCACACAGGAAATGCTCCCCTTCCAGGTTGCTATTGAACCACCCCTGGTGAGAGCAGAGGCTGCACTCCAGTGCATTGGGTCTTGTTTTATGCTAATGGTTATTCAGATTGCAAAAGAGGTAATTGTAATGCAGCTACCAGTACACATATGGTCAGCAGTATTAAAACTTAAGGTTTGAGGGGGAGGGCTAGAGATATTTGCTATTTTTCTACTTTCATAGAGGTCTTGCCTCCCTAACCCCCCGCAAATGTGGAAGGTCAGCTGTACTTTTGAGAAATAAGCATTTTGTGTAATAAAGCAATCTTAATGTTTATAGCAGAATATTGTTTTCCAGGATCAGTATGCATTCAGTAAGTATACTCTGTCTGGCTAAACACTGGTGGGCTAAAACTTTGTCAGGAGCAGGGTTGCACATGCGGGCCCAGGCCTCGGTGTCCCCAGGTGAGCTTATCTGCAGACCTTTGCTTATTTAGGTCGGAGAGATGTTTCTAAGCATGTTCAGCTTAGATTGCCTCAGTGCCACAATTGAAGGGATCCACATCAAATGGAGTTTCATGCATATCCAGCTGAACACACTTGGGAGTCCCTTTTAGATAACTGTGGCATCACTGATAAAGATATTACTAAACTGAGAGAGGAAAAAGGAGGAGGGGGCAAATGCAAACAAGGTGCAGGGGGACAAAGATGGGTCATATTGGACTAGTGTAGGCTAAAGTTATCAGAGTAGTTACGTACAAGACATTGGCTTAGAAGTGGCTGGAAAAGGGATAGAAAGGGACATTGGTGGTATGGCGTAGAAGAGAAGAACACTGCTTGAGGCACAAAATATCTGTACTGTGGAATAGGGAGCATTGCATCATGTCACAGCATGGAATGGCATTGGGTAAATGTGGACTGTTAGATATGCTTATGAAAAGCATATCTAGACATGCTTCATCATAGTACATATACCTATTTAAACTGACAGGCAACGTAATGGAATCTCAGGTCAGAGTTTTACCCAGCTTTCATCCTGGGAGGACATTGCCTTTTATAAAGTAGAATAATACCTGTTTTCCATGTCTTATTGTTTTCCCACACTTTTCATCTGTTCTCAGGGCTTGAATACTTTGCTCTGGGTAAGTCCTCTTAATTCTTTTTGCATCCCATTTCACTGGAACAAGAATTCTGCATGAGGTCATGCAAACTGCTTTTGATTTGTATGTAGTATGTTGTAATACAGGACATTGCAGGTGGATGTCACAATGCACAATGTGTCAGAACTAAGTGTTTTAACTTGATTTGATTTGCATGGAAATAAAGCTGAAGTAAGAAAAACTTGGATGTCTCAGATAAGAGATATTACACAACTATAATAACATTTGTTTATTCACCTAATGCTTCTATCCCTGATTCTTCCCTGCCCTCACCCCCACCCTTAGTGTTCCTGACTTAAATACACATTTTAGCTATCTTCAATTTCTGGATCTCAGAATTAATCTGTACGTCTTACCTATAATTGTATGGGGTATTTTTCTTTCTTCACTCTTTTACCGTTGCATTATTTGATATATTGAAGATTATGTGTGATAAAATTGGTTGTTTTTAATAAAGGATGTGGCTTATAGTTGCAGTAAGGCGAACAGCTAAGGTTAGAAAATAGTTGCTGTCTTTGCATTGCTGTCTGTCCTGCATTTGCTGTGGTTAGGGAGAGTGAGGAGATCATAACTTGTATATAACACTGCCTTTTGAGCTTGAAGGAATGACAGTGACAGAACTGCCACCTCCAGGGAAATGATTCCTGTGGTGGTGGACGAACAATATGAATCTTTGCAATAAATGATAGTACATAATTCCTTTTTCATAGCCAACTTGTGAAAGGAAGATCAGTGCAAGACTGTGCCTTTTCATACCCTTGAGGAAGGATGTGATCAACTAGCAGATGTTTCATGATCTAGTACAAACTAGCTGCAGATATTTGCGTGCCTAGCCCCCTTCTGTACATCATCCCAAAAGAAAAGCAGTGCTGAATGCAGCTTTACACTGGCAATTTCATGTTCAGGACTTGTCCTGTGCTGCTTCTGAAGGTGCTGCTGTTGTGTGTGCTGCAGAAAAGGCTTTTCAGGAGCAGGCGTAGTATTGGTACAGGGTTGTTAGGCTGCACAAGCTCCCATCAGCTTCTCTCAGTGCTTCCACACCATATTGGCATCTAGTTAAACCTGTGAATGTGGCTTCTGTCCTATAAGCTGTGCCCACTTGCACCCATTTTGCACTGGTTCTGGATGCCTATGCTGGGGAAGGTGGTTGTGCTGCAACACAGAACAATCTAAACCTTAGAAGTTGGGGAGTGCATCTTATCCTCTGCTATAAGGTGGGTTCTGTGATAACAGCTCAACAACTAACCTGTTGTTAATTCAGTTGTTGGATTTTGTCAACTTCTTGCATTTTCATTATTGCTCAAAAACTGCACAATCACAGTTAGCTTGGAAGTGTTATTAATGTTGCTTTTTCAGGTAATCTAGGGAGATTTACACATGTGACTTTACTGCTAAACTCTTAATGCCCATTTGGGGAATAAATGGCTTAAGCTCTGATCTGAAGTGCACACAGCTGGTTACTATGCTCCACTGAAGGATGAGTTTCTAGCAGCTTGAATAGGAATCTCTTCTCTTCCCCTTAACTACTACTTTTAGATCTTTTCTCAGGGCCCCTGTTACTCTAATATGGGACTTGCTGATTTTCCCTGCACAGAAGATGTGCTGTGTAACCATCTGGCTCTCACAGCAAGGGTGATTTGCAAATCCCATCTGCCATGTTATGGTAACAGTTGCACTGCATTTCCCCTTCTTTTATACAATATCAATTCCATTAGAAGATGAGTATTGTGACATCCGCAATGATAGTCGGCGTATAAAATGTCCAGTCAAGTGTCTTGAAGAAATGCTCCTTGCACATTCATTAAAATCAGTTTTTAGGATTTGGAAGCAGGCTGAGGGGATGTGGTGAGGAAGCGGGAGAAGTGGAGGTTCTGAAATAATGCAGCTGTTAGCATTTTTATCTGACCAGACAGTGTCTCAATGTCCTTCATAAGGACTAGTCTTAGCCAAAGAATCTGAGAAAAGAACAAGGAATAGCATTTTAAGTGAGATACAGAGATACTATTGAAAGCTAGGTTTTTCTCCTCCTGTCTGTGGCATCAAAAAGTGCTCCAAGGGCAAAATGTGCAGAGCTTTGGTCTCATCCAGGGGTAGTGTTGCAGGGCAGGGTCCTAGGCTATAAAGGCACTTGACTGTACCAGAATATGTTTTAAGTTCCATAATCCTCTCTGCTCAGTCTGAATTAATTTCTTTTCTACTTTTCTTTAGGTTTTTTGCATTGCTTGTTGATAAATAGCAAATGTGCCGTATCCTATGCTTTGCCATTGCTTTGTACACATTTCTTCAAATGCCATTGCTTATACTACAAGTGCTTCTCACTTCAGTTATGCTGGTATACATAAGACCAAATCTGCTTTACAAAATTTGAAGTACATCCTCTGTAAGCTGGAAATAACAGACCATGGTCAATTCAGCACAATTACAATTTAGTTATTTAGTACTATCATTTGTCTGTTTTAATTTAGCTAGGGTATTTGGCAAATGATTGAGGTGTCTTTCATGATGAAAAATCCATTTTAATGTTGGTTCTTAATTGGCAAGATTGATTTTCTGGTTATTTGTAGCTGTTTCTCTCACACAGAATGAGAAGTGCAACAAATAGGAGCACGATTCCTTTAATTAGCCCAATAGTGTATACTTAGCTGTGAATTTTTGTGCCTTTTAACACTCATTCTGTACAATCCTAGACAGTTCTCAAAAAGATATTATATTGTATGTAAAGTTGCTCTCAAAGAGCTAGGTCATACCCACTTGGGGAGCTTGCTTGGAAAATTTCATAATCACACTCCTGCTTTTTGTGTGAGCTGGATAAATGCATACCCAAGTATCTAGAGGTATGTGCAGCTTCAGTTGAGGTCACTGAATAATTTGTATGATTAAGTATGCACATTGTCAACTAATCTATGTAATATTGGGGCCATGCACCAAATTAATAAAATAAATCAAAGCATACTCATTTTCAGCTCAAAAAGTTGTTTCGATTTTTGCATTTATCGCCTTGAACGTCAGAGTGTCAGGAAGCCCTAATGCCTTTTAATGTAATAGTAATTTGTGAAATCATTAAGAACCTTGTAAGTTCTTAACATCATTGACATCAATATTAACTTCCCTGTGGTGGGAATTGTGGCTATAACTGATTCACTCATCTCCAGATATAAGTTGCCTTTTTGGATATTGCCCAAAATGAGATGAGAATTCTTGCTGCTTCTCAGAAACTGTTTTGAACTAGGTTTTCTCCCTTCGCACATGCAAAGCCAGTGACCTTACTTGCAAAACATTCTGTACTGACCAAAGCATTTTCCAGAAGCACAAACACCCAGAATGAATCTATGAGCATGCACAGGGTGGTTTGTTGAACCCAATCTAGTATTTACTTCTTGGAACTCTCCTTATGAGATTGTTTGGGCCCTGTTCTTTTGGGAGGGGCCTTCTGGAAAAGAGCACGCTTCCTCTCTACATGCCTACCCTTTGAATGGGCCACCCTCCTTTGCTGATGAGGTTAAGAGTTGTATCTGCCTCATCTGTCTGAGAAACTCCCTGTTCCAAGCTCCCTCCCGATAATGTACATCTCAATTATTCTCACAGGCTGCCTGAGCACCTGGGGAGTCTGGCCTTGAGAATAAGTGCCTCCACCGCTCTCATATCTCAATGAATTGGCCCACATGCTGAGGCCCCCTCTGAATCTCAGTCAGCATGCCTTGAAAATGTGCACCAAGAACAACTGTCATTCTCCCAACAGAAATACTCACTTTAAATGCACCTTTGAAAACAAGAAGCTATCTGTCACTGCTGCTTTCTTTCCACTTCCCCCACTTTTCCTTTGCCACCATCATTGCTTGGCTTGGACCAGAAACTCAAGGGAAGTGGCGGCAGCAGTACCTTCTTTTGCTTGTCCCTTTTTTGTGGTAAAGTAGGATGCTGAGCTTCAGGCCAAATTCTTATAGGATCAGGGTGCCCATAGTTAATTGCTGTGAGAGGTGGGATGTGCAGTACTTCCTTACATTTTGATGTGGTCAATAAAAAGAGGTAGGAGGATAATGAATTCTGCATAACTTGGCAAGGCAGATGCTCTCTCGAGGTGGCTACACACAGAGTACTAAGCTTCTTCCTTGTTTAGCAGTTGATAATTGATGTTGTTTAATGTGCCAGGTTGTTTCCAGTGGTCAGAAGTAAATTATTAAGCCTGAAAGAATATTCTATATTCATAGGAGCCAACTTTAAACATTTAATAGACAAAATTATATACTTAAGCACCAGCATTACTCATGGCTACATGGGTGTTTCAGATTGTCGGTACCCATAGCCAACTGTTGGGTTCTAGAGTTTTTGCAGCCTTACAGATAAGGTTTCCATTCAGTGTAACATGAGTGGACTTACACTTGCGCAGCGTACTCTTCCTTCATCTCTCTCTTGTGCACCCCAAATTAATCTGCAGAATGCCCAGATATTCTGGTGCAGATTTGGTGCTGCAGGGGAGAAGAAATCCCATGAGAGAGCATGATGCTAATGAGCAGCAAGCAGCCTCCCTCTTCCCTGCCATGTGCAAAACAGCCTTTGTGTTGCTGCACATAATGGCGATGAGTGAGATGAAATGACCTTGCTGCTGCCACTATTCCTTAGGATAGCCACTTCACAATGGAATTTCCTTTCTTTCATGGACTAGTAAACCCAGCTCTCTCTACTCCATTGGAAAACTGCAACCCAGTCAAGTTTCCCTCAAGCTCATACAAAGGATAAGAGAGGCTGAAACGGGGTGGGGTGGGATTGTGAGATTTCTGTGATGCCTTAATTCCTAATTTTATGAAATAACATTAGCGCTCTTCTGGTATTTAAGTTATTGTGCTTGTATGCCTAGAATGGTATATCATTGTTAAAAGGAAGATTTTACCCATGACACACTTTGAACTAATTTTTGATGTTAGTTTGTGAGATGTAAGCACTGACCAATCTTCCTCAATGGTTTCTTTTTCCAGGAATGCCTGCTGTTTGTAACCCAGGGATGGTACCTGTGGCAATTCCACCTCCTGCAGTCAACCCTCAGCATGTGTGTAATGAAGAGGATCTAAAATCAATCCAGGACATGTTTCCCAACATGGACAAAGAAGTAATCCGTTCAGTACTAGAAGCTCAGAGAGGAAACAAGGATGCTGCTATCAATTCTCTGCTTCAAATGGCAGAGGAATCCTAGATCCTTCTGCACATTCCCCATCTTCATTGTTACTGTTACTTTTGATTTGCCAAGCCAGGAATTTAGCTAGAGGAAGAACTTCCCCAAAAAGGCATCCATTCTAAGAATGCGTTTTCCCTTTCTGTTGGTGGTGATTGTTGGGACATTTGCACATTTGTTTTTACCTATGATCTGTAGAAACTTCAGAAATTTTTATGAATATCAGTTCTGCCATGTATGGCTGCATTTCTTTTCTGAGAGGCAGATTTGGAGTATCTGTTCTGCTTCCCCTCATGCATTTTTCCTGTTTTGGAAAACAGATGCCAGTGCATGCGCACACACATGCGCGCACACACTGTTTCAACACTATGTATTATTGAGTCAAAAGCTGGGGCAGGCAAAGGAAATAGAGGTGGAGAGATAAAGGGCTGCTGGAACTGCTGTCCTATAGAGTACTTTCATCAGAAGTAATCTCAATCTATCTCAATAAATGACCCCCTTTCTGTGATAGTCAGGAAGTGATTGCATAGCTTGCTTAGTGATACCTGAACATTGCGGCAACTTGTAACACTTCATAGTGTACACAAACAAGCTTTCCTGCAACTTCTGCATTCATTATAATGAGAAAAGGCTATGTTCAGCCTATTAATTGGGCACAAATGCAATTATTTCTTTGGAGCCAACTGCTCTGATATGTTGCTGTATTTCTGAAATCTGCTATCACTTCTTTCTTGCAAAACAGAAGCATATGGTAGAGGAACATGTTAATGTGCTCTTGTGTTTACTTGCACTGTTCTTGCTTTTACGTTTGTGAAATAGTCAAAAAAAGATTAAAACAGGAATTTATACCTTGGAAAATTCAGCCCCATGATTAAATAAACATCCTCGTGGAGCAGTTGTCATAACAATAATAGTAATTTGAGAAGAAAACTGCTTCATTCAGCTATGTGGATGAAATCTACTTTTTTCCTTTTAGAAGAGAAATTTATTTTCAGGACATAACTTTTTCAGTAGAATATCCACTGTAATGATTCATTTAGTTTCAGCTGAGTTTACTACCATCAATACTCAGGCATATGAAAGAATCAGTTTAACAAATGAGACAAACCAAACAAAATGCAATTCCAATATATAGGATATATGAATTGTATATTCATTGTGTATTGCTATACCCGTTGAATGTCAGGAGATAACAAATTTTCTGTGTTTAATTAGTTTATTTCTTGTTTGAAAAAAGCAGAATAATGCACTTTAATACACACATTTTCATAAAATGTGGTGTTTGGCTTTTTGATGGTTTTAAAAAATTTTAAAGTATTTTCGATAATTGCTAGCCATGCTTCATATTTCTTTATGTGTTTAAATACAATGCAAGCATGTAGGTTGAGTCGGTTGTGATTTTTTTCTTTGAAAGAATAGATCATATGTTTCCTGTTCTTTATATAGTTTTCGTTTTGGCTCCTCTCCCTCAAGCATTAAAAAAATCACTAAAATTTACTTCATATCACAATGAATACTCCTGGCACAGCCAGTTATAGTTGAAATATTTATTTTTTTAATTATTAAAATATAGGTGGGGAAATAATTTTTAAATAAGTACCAAAAATGTGTGTTTTACTTCTATATGTTCGTTAAAATTTAAATGTCTTGCATCCATTTTTTAAAAAGTAGACTTGCATTTATGAGTATTAGTTCCTTCCTTTCCACTTATTCCCACTTCTATTGCGTTTTAAAATGGTGCATATAGTATACTGCAATCTGTTTTGTTGGGGCGCGGGGTTGGAACATTTTGGAAATTAGTTTGCTTCCTTTCTCCATACTCTACAGGACTTCCAGTTTAGTATTAATTAATGCTGGACTTTTGTCGGAAGCATCATAGACCATCTGATTCCTGTGGCATGTGTGAGCTCAGCAAATAATCTGGCATAACCTGTTTGTTCTTTGGGAAAACCTGCTGCCATGCATAATCTGCAAAAGGTGTAGGGGCACTTCTTTCTGAATGGCCAGCAGGGATGGTTTTAAAGGGTTGCTTGTACTTCTGGAATGGCATATTGCATAGCAGATGTTGTTAGAGCTGAACTGTAAACACTTGAGTTTGGATCCAGAGTTTTATTCTGCTGGTGACACCGTCCTCAGGCAAGTTCTTTAGGAACTTGGAATGTTCCCACTGGCAGAAATGGGGGAAAGTGATTGTTACCAATCCCTCCCTCCCTCCCTCCCTCCCTCTGCAGCCCCACTTGTTCTGGCACCATTCCACTGACCCCAGTTTTCCAAAGGAGATTTTGGGGGGACAGTGGGTACTGTAGAAGAGAGAGGAAAGATCACTTCCTGCCCTGCTCAGCTGGATCAAAATCCTCCTCCTGATGGAAAGAGTCATTCTGGCCACAGGAGGTTTTTGCTGGATCCAGTCCACTGAAAACAGTGCAAATGCATGTTCACAATCAAGATAGGCATGGAAATATTAAAACAAAATTCACTTTCTGGAAGGTCCCAGGAACTGAGGCCTGTGGAAAGTCTGGGGAATTCTAGGACTGGTTTTAAGCTGCCTTTTTCAAGAGTAGAGCAGACTTTTGTAGATAACGAGTAGTATTATAACATTTGCTATTCATATTTTCCTCTGTCGAAGAAAAAAATGACAATGCAAACCTTTTGAAAAATATTGAGAATTCACTGATTACCATGTTTTTGTCATAAAAAAAGGGCATTGCTACAGTTCTACAAGCATATCTTTTCTTGAGAGCTACTTGGATGTACCCTAATTCTGCCGATATGTATTTGGAAGTAATCCCCATGAATTACAATGAAATTTGCCTCCAAATACATGTGATTAAGATTGGGGTGCAAGTTAGTAGTTTGCAGAATCAAAATGCACTACTTGCTTGTCAGTTAAACTAAATGCTGTGCTGCGCACAAGTCTCAATGCTATTTCTCTTAGAACACTATGTTCAGCTTTGTGCATCTCTCACAGCATCCCTCTGCAGCCCAGACGCTGCTGTGGAATTAAGCTGAAGTTCACATCTGCCAAAGGTCTGTAAGTGATTAAATCTGGAAAGTTTTTTGTCTAGCTAGATGCTGGCCACCTTTTTCTCTGCTGTTGTTTGATTGCGTGCTGATTGTTCAAAGTGTTTTCCATTGCAGATATTATTGCTTGTACTGGCTGACCTGTAATACTGTATAAAGGATGTTTTGCTGTAATAATTCTGAAGACATTGTTTTTTTACTGTATTAAGGTCTAGATGTTTGTCTCTAATATTATGAAATCCTTTTTTCTCATTCTATCTAATTTAATAAATGTATACCAAAACCAGGTAAAAGTATGGTCTTTTTAAAAGGGCATTAAGTTTCTCTGTCACAGCTTCAGAGGCTGGGAGCTGCAATGAAGACAATTTTAGCATAGTGTTTGTGTTTTGCCCTCAAATGCAGGATATTCTAAAGACTTCTTTTATCATTTTCCATTCCTTTATACTTAATGGACTTATTCATAACGCAAAGAAAGTTTGAAGGGTGGGATGAATCAGTCAAGCCAGTGTGGCCCAATGACCTTTTTGCCGCATTTGAACTAGGTAGATCTTTGCATCTGTTTTCCTTCACAAAGTTCCCTTAGATTTGTAGTAGTTCAACAGGAATAATACATTACAGGGTTGTTTTTGAGGGCAAATCACATGAGCCCGTGTGCTCGGGAGTGGTGTTAAATCTAATATATTTGCCCAGCCTTACTTTTACTCAATAATAATTTTATACAACTTGTCCAGCCAGTCTTGCCTGTTAAGAAAAAAGCTTATTTTCTCTTGCAAAATTATATAAGAATTGATAACAGATCAGAGTTGATAACAGAAGAGAAACAAATAAAGGTTGACTGCAGTCCTGAGTGTGCAAATTAGATAGTATGGTGTACTGAAATATTACATGTGCTGAACATAGCTGTGGATAGGCTCAGGCTGCAAGACGAATTTACTCCCTAGTAAAAGAGTTACACCTCAGTAACAGCTCATGCTTAGCATTTCCATTTTAATATGTAAATAATAATATACAAGTGCTGGTGGGATATAAAATGAAATCAGGTCTTCTTTTTAAACAGTTGTATTAATGAAAATTACCTCCAGGAAAAATTATTTCAGTAACTTGTGACCTTTAAAAAAGCTGTAGAAAAATAATGCAGCAAATCTCATGGATAAAATTAGCCTCTTGTGTTTCCAGTCTTGTGGACAGTTCACCCAAATGGGGATGCATTTTTAAAATCATAGGATCATGCACTTAAGTATGTAACTGCATAGTGTGAGCTAGTCACCTAGATGGGACAGCCTCAACCATTTCTGCTTTAAAAATCTGTGTGTTGCTTTTTTTTCCTGACCCTTGAGTAGACAGAAGTCCATGGGATTCCACTAGGTTAAACAGTTCGTGTTGTTCCTGCACTGTTTGCCAACCAAGATATGCCTGTACCAATCATTACATTTGGTAATGGAACAAAGCTGGCTGAACTGTATAGATATGAAGTTTCCAGCACCCTTGCCACATTACATTGCTAAAAGTCCTTTGGTGATTTCTTCAGTGCTTCAGTTGAATTTGAAGTGGTTCCAATAGATGACACTCTGTCATGTCAGGACTGATTGATAGCACTTGAATGCAGATGACCCATAATGGCTTTAGTGTCTTCCTTTGGAAAGACGAATTTGCCATCTGCTATATATAATTACAGTTTTTGCAGTAAAACGGTTTTTAAAATATGGTATACAAGTACAGTAGTAAAGGGGGTAATTTTTAAAGTGGCGGTAAGTTGCAGTTCTGTATTACAGGGATCAACAATGACAACAAGAGTAATTGAAATGTCTGCTTTCTGCCCTCTGAGAAGTGGTATTGAGATAGAACAGCTTTCCCCAACTACGTGCTGTTTGGACTTTAGTTTCCATTAGTCCTAGCCCAGCATGGCTCTTGGCCAAGAATCTGGGGTTGTATGTGGAACATGGTTGTTGAAGTAGGTTGGATGAGGCTGAGACAGGCTAGTGCAGCCTTCTCCCAACTTTGTGCCCTCCAGATGTGCTGGTCCGCAATGCCTACAATTCCCAACAGGCATGGCCATTAGCAAGCCAACATCTTGTGCTGGTGACAGGTGGATTTCTTTTCTGGACCAATGCCCAAGAAACATGCTTACTCGTGTGGTGTGGTGGTTAAGAGTGTTGGACTGGGTACCTGGGAGATCCGGGGTACACTCCCCACTTGGCCACAGAGCTCACTCTCAGCCTGAGACCGCACAGGATTGCTGTAAGGACAAAATGGAGCTATGAACTGCCTTGGGTTCCTCACAAGAGGAAGAAGGCAGGATTTAAATGCAGTGTAGTGATAAAATGAATATATTAGCTGTTTCAACTGCGTGAGCCAGCCTCTCAGCCTAGTAGATCTCCCACTTCGAGAAGCTGCAAATCATGTGCACTCCCTTTCCTCACCAGGAGGACCGGCTGCCGCCATCCCCCTCCCACCCTCCGCTTGCCACCGCGCCTCCCAGCCCCGTACCTGCTTGCCACCCGGTTGCTGCTGCCCCCTTGCAGATCCTTTTGGAGATAAGGCCCCTGATCTCTCAAGGGCCATCTTGAACTCGTTAAAACAGGGCTCCTCAAACTTTTTCAATAGGGAGCCGGTTGAAAAGCGGCGGCGACCAGGCATGGGCAGGTGAGGAGGGGGGGCCTGGATGCGCGGGCTGGTGAGGCGGCGTCGGGCGCCCATGAGGCGGCTCGCTCGGAGGTCTCCCACCCGCGCTGTGAGGCAGCAGCGCGCGCGCGCGTGTGCGGGAACGTGGGCGGCAGCGGCAGCGTGCTCGCGCGGAGGTCTCCCAGCGAGCCCAGGGCCCTCTCCGAGTGAGCAAGCCCCCACCTCCGCCCGCGCGGCGAGGCAGTGGCGCGCGCGCGCACAGGCGGCGGGCGGCGGCGCGGGCCGGATAAATCGGCATGACGGGCCGGATCCGTCCCGTGGGCCGTAGTTTGAGGGCCCATACGCTAAAACTTTGCTGAATAGCTGTAGGTCGGCTAATAAAGCATGTTAAACAAGCGCCCAACAAATTTCTTTCAAATGTGTGAATGCTGATTGTGAACCCTAGCAAGTTAGCAAGTGGTGATATTACCTTTACTCTGCTGCCTGACAGATAGAAATGAGTTCATTTTGATCATCAGTGACATTCAAGCAGTATCATTGCATTCTTCATTGATGCATTACTTCAGATTCTCCTGCCTGCACTTAAATGTGATCAAACAAAAATCAAAAGGATTCCAGTACCTGGCAAAAACAATGGCTTGAATTATCTTTTGCCCTGCATCTGTCAAAGGTCGAATAGGCTCAAACTGCAGGAAAATTCTTCAATGCATTCTTTGAGTGAATGTTTGACAGCTGAGAAATCCACTCGTGCCCCCAAGCATAACTGGTAATCTTGGTCATCTTTTCTCCTGTTTCTCATGAGTAGGGAAATTCTTTTTGGGTGTGCTCATCCTGAAACAGTAAGATTTTTCTCACCTCAGGAAGTTCAGCAATTTTTTAAAATGGTTTTAAGAGCCTGCAGGCAGAAGTTTGAATATTTGTGCTAAATACTTCTGTTTTTATAGTTCTTTCCTGAAAATAATTTGAAAACGCAGAGCTTCAGCTCAGAGTGGTACCAGTTATATTCTCTTTGGAAGAAAAAAGAAGACTCTGTTATGCATCATTCAGAATTGCAACAGCATTCTACATCATGGTGGTAAAAGAGCTACATTCTTCGCTGCAAAGGTCAAGGCACAGTCTTGTGTGATATTTGCAGTTGCAGTACAGATGTCCTTTCACGACTAGGAGTGACCTGACATGTTTCTCCTTGACCTAAACAACAGAACCTACACATTCTTTCCCTTCTATTAAAAGGAAAATGTAACTGACTTGCTCAGTCAACAGCTGAATGTCAGGATCATGTTTTCAGACTGAAGAGTTGCTACAGTCATCACCTCTCACTGGTCACAGTGGCCAGTCCTAAGAAAATCAAAAGAGCTTAATTAATGTAGTTTACAAGACTGTGGGTTATGAGCAAACTGCAAGGTCACAAGAAATGCATTGTCCCTGTATCTCCATCAAAACAGGCTCCAACTTGCAGCAGTGCAGAATGTCAGATCCCAGCATCTTTTGTATCTTTTGATGTTTTCAAAAATAATGCCCTTTTTGTACCCTCTGACAAAGAAGAATGAAGAAATATCTTCCCACTGGACGTGCAATAAGGGTTTTCTCTGTTAGATTTTTTGTGGCAGGCAGGGAGAAGCAATAAGGCTTTCAGTTGTTTTCTTAGCTGTGTATGTGACACTGCAAATTAAGAAGCACATCTCAATTCTACTTGGAATTTGGTCACCTGTTTTATCATTCTGGCCCATATCTGTCTAGATGTTTTAAAGTCTTAATAAAATTAATAACCAAATCCATTGCATAAATCACAGTCTAATCTCATGAGTGCTGCAATCCTATACACACTTCCTAGGATGCAAACCCCACTGGCATACACATGGTGAGGATTGCCCGCTAAGTCTACTCCTGCAAAGCAGGTCTTGAATCACATCTCCTACCAACATCATTTTTTCCCTTCCGCTTTCCCACCTCATTCAAGACTGAAGAGTTCTGTTGCATTCTCAGTCTAACACTTTGTGGTTTCAGGTTGTTCCTGATACTGATTCTTCAAAACATGTCACAGACAAAACCCCGGTCAGCCATTATTTCTTGTACAAGAGGAAGATGCTCTCCCCCACCCCCAGCTTCACTCTTATATAATATATTGTTGTTTTAATTGACCTTTTATTTGTATAGATAGTGTTAGAAGGAAGGTGGATGGAACTTGAAATGAATTCTATCAGTTCAGTCTTTGAAGGTACTGGCATGCTTCCAACTGAAAAGATTCTCTGCTGGAGAAGGCTTCTCCTGCTCTGTGGTCTGTTGGGAGTGTGAATATGCCGGTGTCAGGACAAAATGGACACAGGGCATCAGCAAGACTAGAGCAGGAAATGAACTGAGACTAGCAAGGGATGCTAAAAACAAAAAAGCCTTTTTCAGATATGTCCAAAACAAAAGACACATGAAACAGAATATGAATGGCAAAGTGATAATGTGGACAAGGAAAAGGAGGTTCTGCTCCATTCTTACTTTGCCTCAGTCTTCTCCCAACAAGATGATCTACAACAAAGAGGAAGTACAAGCTGAAAGTGGGGGATGCCAGTTTGAGAAACAAATGGTCAAGGAATATCTAGATAGAATAAACACGTTCAGAAGTCCAGGACCTGATGAACTCCATCCCAGAGTCATAAAAGAGCTAGTGGAGGAATTCTCAGAACTACGGGCTGTTATCTTCAAAAAATCTTGGAAAACAGGAGACGTGCCAGATGACTGGAGAAGGACTAACATTGACCCAATCTTCAAAAAGGGAAAAAAGATGAACCTTGGAACTACAGACCAGGTCAGTCTAATATCAATCCCTGAGAAAATTCTTGCACAAATTATTTAAAAAATCAGTCTGCAGGCACCTTGAAGAAAATACAGTCTTTAATAAAAGCCAACACAGATTTATCAAGAATAAATCATGTCAGACTAATTTAATCCCAATTTTGGCTGGATAACCACTCAAATGGACAGCAGAAAAGCTGTGGACATAATTTACCCAGAGTTTAGCAAAGATTTGACCAAGGACCCCATGACATCCTGATAAACAAACTAGCAAAAAGTGGGCTTGACAGAACTACTGTTAGGTGGATCCACAGCTGGCTACAAAATTGGACACAGAGAATGCACATCAATGGCATCTTCTCAAGCTGGAGAGAGGTAATGAGTGGGGTGCCAATCAGCCCTGGGACCAGTGCTCTTCAACATCTTTATTAATGATCTAGATGAGGAAGTCTAGGGAACAATAATTAAATTTGCAGATGGCACAAAACTGAGTAGAATAGCTAACACCCTGGAAGACAAAAAGAAGCTCCAGGGTGACCTAGACAAGCTAGAATGCTGGGCAGAAAGCAACAGCATGAAATACAGCAGGGACATACGCCAAGTTCTCCACCTGAGTGGGGGGACGGGACACAAATGCATTGATACAAGAGAGGAAACCATGTGACTAGTGGGGTGAGTTAGAAATTTAACAATAAATAAATAATAAGGTGCACAGTATTTGGCTCAACAGCACTAAAAAGAAAAAGATTTTGGAATTGTTGTAGACAACAAACTAAATATGAGCCAGCAATGTGATGCAGCCACAAAAAGGGCAAATACTATTTGGGATGCATAAACAGAAGCATCACTTCCAGAACAAGAGAGGTACTGACTCTGCCCTACTGAGACCTCACCTGGAATATGGTGAGGTTCTGAGTATGGTTCTGGGTACCCAGGTTTTCAAAAGTTGCAGAAAAACTAGAAAGGGTTCAGAGAAGGGTAACAGGGTCTGGAAACTAAGCCCAACAATGAGAGGCTGAGAGAGCTGGGCACTTTTAGCCTCAAGAAGAGAAGATTACAAGGGGATATGATAGTACTCTACAAGTACCTCAAAGATTGTCACAAAGGGGAAGAAAAAGATCTCTTCTCACTCATCCGTGAGTGTAGGAACAACGAAAAACTGCAGCACATCAGATTCAGGCCAGGCACCAGGGAAAACTTCCTCACTGTCAGAGCAATACGGCAGTGCCAAGAGAGGACATGGACTCTCCTGCACCAGAGACATTCAAGGTGAAACTGGACAGTCATCTGGTTTGGCGCAAGGAGATGACGCTTCCTCAGCACAGTCAGGTTCCCAGCACCCCACCAAGCAGCCGTTCGGTGTGCTGTTGGAGTCCAGGTGTACTGGGGAAGAAGAACTGCAAGGCTGTCATTCCTGTGTATCTTCATCCCCAGCACAACTGCAGAGGTGGCAGTGGCACAGAGAGGAGTGACGGGAAGGGGACAGCCATGGTGGCAGAAATGAGCACCTGCAAAGAAGACCTCTAAGGACTGCATGTGTCCTAAAAGGCCCAAGTTGTCCATATGAAGTTTAGATTTCTGTTTGAGGCTAGGAAGAAGCAGGGTTGGTGGATCTTGGTCCATTCAAAACAGTTTTATAAGCAGTCTTATCATTTGACTTGAAGGACCGTTGGCAAAAAGCTAATAAAAGCTCTACTCTCTTTTCAGCCAGTGGTACAATCTGAAAGGTGAGGCTGTACAGAGCCTAGTAGCAGCCCCACTGCTCTGCTCTGCCTGAACAGATTAAGCAGAGATTTCTTCATTCCAGTCCAGTCAGGCTATGGTAGGGCTGAAAATTGAGAACGGCTAAAAAGGTGCCCTTGATTAATTAGAAAACAAAATTTTAAAGTTTAGTGATGAAATGAGTCCTTCTGTTCATGGAAGGGCTGCAGCTCACAGAAGTGGAGGGATGGGGACTTGGGCCACATTGCTGCTTTCGCCATCTCCCATGCTGTTCCCGCTTTACTGGAATGGGGAGGTGGGGTGGGCAGAGGCTCCAGGTAGAATGCAGAGGGCAAAGGCCATCTTCTGATCTCTTCTGTGAGTGACGAGTTTCACAAACAGAGCTCTGCTCATGGGCTGTCTGGATAAAAGCCACTGCTAGTCTTGGCTAGCGCTGTTGTTTGAAAAGGAGGAAAAGCCAAGGGATGACCACTGATGTTGGAGAACGGAGTTTTGCACCGACCACCATTGCCACCACCAAGCAGGGACGATGGTGTGCTGCAGGTGGTGCTTTACTGCTGCGTTCATCTGCAGTTACCTCGCAACTGCCAGGCTAAATCCACACTGTTCATAGGCCACGCCCTGAAGTTGTTCAGAACACAAGCCAAAAGGAGACACATGAAGACCTTCAGTGGAGAGTCTTCCATGGGCACTCCCACCATCTAATGTAAAGTGGGGGACGACTCCTCAGTGCTAGAACCCCAGTGATGAAACACTCTTGGTGGAAGGTCCTCAGGTACCCACCTTATTTTATCAGTGCCAAAGATTTGCTCCAAACTTCATGCATGCCATTGTAATCTTACTGTTTTATGCTGCCTTCTAATACTGTCTTGCTTGTATTTCCATTCTAATCTTTTTATTCTTTTCTGTATACTGCCCAGGGAATATGATGAAAGTGTGGTATAAAAATAGCAAATTTAAGAGCCATTTATTTCAGTGGGCCTACTTGAAGCATAAATAAGTCTGGATCCAACCCATAGTTTCCTTCTTCCTTACAGCAAGGTGCAATGTGGTGTTTAAACTACCTTCCATCCATTTGAAGCACAAATAATTGTTTCTGAGTCTTGAAACAGTATGAATGTAGCAGAGTGTGATGATTTGACTTAAGGGATGCCAATGTTTGGAGAATAAAAACAGCAGCTGTCAAGGTTGGAAGTTGCTTAGTTTTTTTATTAATCTTAAGAAACAGACATAAATGTGTAAACAGATTCATCTTTCCCACAGTCAGATGCCTGTTGACACTGTACAGAAGACTGTGCTTGCAGAAAATGATGCTCAGTAATTTCAAGGACTGTAGCCAAAAATAAACAGCAAAGCACAGAAGATGTAAGAATAAGTTTTGTTTTCTGCACTGAAATGACATACATCATTTTATTGTCTATGTAAGGATCTTGAGAGCATTTTCTACACTCTTGTTTTGTACAAAATGACTGTAACTTCTCATACAAGAAAGAGGACATTAATTTGGTTAGGCAGCTGACAAAGAAAACGGCTGCTACCAACTGTTTCAGGGACACAATAAGAGATATGGAGTAGCATTAGCTGGTGACTAATTTTAGCTGATTATAGCTGCTTGGGCACTTGTTGGGTCTTTTATCCTGGGGCAAATGCATATTCGTCTCCATTTTCCCTAGATAACTGTGCTTTGCGGGGTGCATGCAATCCCACACTGACACTTCTCCACGTAGATATAGTCATAATTGATGCTTTTGCCATCCTGGCATGTCAAGGTCACCTCTCTCCTGTGGCTCTTGAGTTCCTGGCAGCAGCTACAGTTGAGCTGCATTGCTTTTGTCTCAGTGGAATACCTGTGCAGAGAAAAGAAATTAACTCAGATGCTTTCCATAAAATGAAATCGTACCACAAAGGCACACTGCTGGATCTCACTATTCCCAGCTTAGATTAACCAGATCCCAGTGATGCCAGGGGCAAACACCTCCCTTCTGCTTAAATACTAGTGGAAACAGGCTTAGGTGATGTGCTGATTTCAGAGGGGATTTCTGATGATATTAACGCATGTTTTCAAACCATCTACCCATATTTGTACTTTAATGAACAAGGCAGTCCTCAACCTGCTTACCAAATCAAGGGAGAAATCAAAGTATCCTAGGGGGATATACCTACACAGGAAGCTTTTCATACTCATGATTTGAATTTTAGTTTTGCAGCAGATGCAGTATGGAAAGGGAAAGTTATTCCAGAGCAATAAGAAACTAAGAAAAGCCATGCTGGATCACACCAAAGGTCCAACTGGTCCAGCATTCTGAGCACATGGTGGCAAACCGATTGTTCACAGGTTCACTGAAGCAGGATGGGTGCAAGACCTCTTCCTGCCCAAACAGCGAGAGATATAAAGGTGGGCAGCACATAGCCAGCAAGGTGAATAGCCACTGATAGCCTCCTCCCTCGTGAATCTGCCCAATCCCCTTTTAAAGCCATCCAGATTGGTGGCCTGCACCCCTTCCTGTGGCAGTGACTCCCATAGTCTAACTAAACATTGTGCAAAGAGCTTCCTTTCATCTGTCCAAAACCTCCCACCGATCAGCTTTATGGAATGTCCCCAGTTCTAGAGTTATGAGAGAGGGTTAGGATTCACTCTCCCTCTTTTCACTTTCTCCATGCTGTGCATTATTTTAAACACCTCTATCGTGTCTCCCCCTACTTGTCATTTTTCTAAGCTAAACTGTCTCAGTGGTGTAGCCACTACTCACAGGGGAGTTGCTGTAGCCCTTGATCTTTTTCACTGTCCCCCTCTGTACTTTTCCCATCTTGATGATCTGTATTGGATTTTGCCACCCCAACATCACACACTGATGTGAATAGACTAAAAAGCCTGTCCAGGATTCTGCCATTCAGATGGATGGGACATCAGGATACTATGCACAGGTGAACAATGTACCTTGTAGGTTCTGAAGCTTGGCCCTGATAGTCAAAGGGTCTAAACTGGAAGAATGGTTCAATATACACTCAACTTGCCCTTTGATAAGAAATAGTAAAATATTG